TCATAACCGCAGTTCATACATATGTTTCATATGTTTGTTGTTGTTTGATTTATCATCTACGGGTTTATGTCGAATTAATTTGATGGCCTGCTCCCAGTTGGCTTGTTAGCTCAATTGGTAGAGCGCTGCACTAGTATCGCAGAGGTCAGTGGTTCGAATCCCGTACAGGCCTGAAATTTTTTTCAGGTCTGATTTTCACTATTGCTCAAATAGTGCTTTACTGCGAAGGATCGTGCACATATACGTTTCATAACCGCAGTTCATACATATGTTTCATATGTTTGTTGTTGTTTGATTTATCATCTACGGGTTTATGTCGAATTAATTTGATGGCCTGCTCCCAGTTGGCTTGTTAGCTCAATTGGTAGAGCGCTGCACTAGTATCGCAGAGGTCAGTGGTTCGAATCCCGTACAGGCGTGACCCTCCTGTGCCCCTCCCCTCGATATGCCACTGATTGATATTGCCGCCATAGCAGATTTTGCCTCTTGAACTGATATGCAATGAGTGTAAGCTAACTGGGGTAATCACAAGTCAGATTGAATACATACGACACCTTTCCCCCCCAAAGCTACTGAAGCGGTTGTTTCTGCTAAACGGATATACTTTGGTCTCTAAAATTAATATGCAATGAGTTTCAGGTAGGTGAATTAAAAGAAAATCAACTTATCCGAAATAACAACAAATTTCCCCTTAACAGCTACTTCTGTTGTCATTTCTGCTAATCCAATGAGGTTTCTTGCGTGACAGACATACGTTCCGTCGCTGTTGTTTACAACAGGGTTAAATTCGAGGCAGCCTTGTTCCTGAAAAGCCAGTGATGTACCAGCAGAGTACACTTGACGAACGCGAGTCTATTCGACGCTGGGACCAGAAAAGCCCTCAGCCTCACAACAGAGACTTAATACGGAGCGTTCATCTAGGATAAGGAAAGGTGGTAGTTTCTTGACAAATGTCGGTGGCTCTGATGGCAGAATAAAATCGTTACATAAAATCGACATATAATTCATAACATCGCTTGATCAACAGCAGTCATCAGTAAAAACTTCGGTATCAAGTAGTAAAAAAAAATTTAGCTTTGATAATAGCAACGACAAACAACTCAAACCTATCATAATCTTTGAATCATAAGTTTATCATGTACACATAATCTCCCCCAAAGTAATCTGCATCAAAGAGGTTAAATTACTATCCAAACACGTTCAAGGTCCCCGGCTGCCTGTGGAAAGAGAAAAATGCGTATTTGATTTAAACATTACTGTCACCACTGGTGTCAAAAAAATAATATCCTAAAAAAACGGAAATAAGTTGGCGACTTATGTCCTTACCTTTTACTTGTAAAGTGCTGAAAGCCTCCAGACTGCCAAGACCTGTGTTAGCTGAACATATGTACGACCCAATATGTGACCTTTGTATGCTGTTGAATCGGAGCATACCATCTTTTACAGTAGCATCAGACAGAGTACCTCCAAGCTTACGCCACGTGATCTTGAGGGTAGTCTGCCCTTGTGCCCAACAGAAAAAAAAATTGCTGTCTCCTTCACAAACACCGCCTGAGATATAGGATGCACACTGATCTTCAGTGGAACGACGCATTCTCCTTTTTGTCCCTAAATACCAACCAATCCTCGGCTACCTTTGTTCCCTTGAGAGCCAGTGGATCCTTTTTTACTTAACGACCCTTCGGTCCAGTCTCTCCTTTTAACCCGGTTGCTCCAATGGACCCTGTATCGCCTTTTTCGCCGTTTACTCCTTGAGGTCCCACAGGTCCTCTTTTGCCACCAGCGCCTGGAGCCCCAAGAGGCCCCTATGGGCCTGGTGGTCCTTCCTTTCCCGGAACCCCTTTCTCTCCTCTATATCCGGGATATCCAAAGGGCTCCTGGCGGTCCCGGAGGTCCTGCCTGCCATATACTTTCAGAGGATTTACAAACTTCATTGAACTTGTTATTTATTTCTTAGCGGACTTCAGTTGTAAAGTTATTGTTCCAGCAGTTGGACTCAGAGCAACATTTCTTTTCTTTCTTTTGAATTGATCCATTGGATGTTTTGTTATAACACCTTCAAAATCTGTTTATCAAATAGGCGGTTAAAAAAAGGTTAACGGTTTAAAATAGTAGAAAAAAAAAAAAAAAAAAAAAAAAAAAAAAAAAAAAAAGGGAAAAAAAAAAGACAAAACATATTTATCCATGCTGGAGCTTGTCATATTTTGTGAAAACAATGCATTTGTGCATTGGAAATAATCGAATATCAGATGTGGACAGATCATTTGGTGATTCAAGCGTAGATCTCTCAAAAAGCAATCCTTAGTCTCCGCCCCGGGTGGGGTCGGAGGATATTGTGGGGATCACGTGGTTCTCAGGGGAAACAAAAGCAGGGAGCAGTGATCGCTAACAGAGTATAAAGAGGGTACTATAAAGAATTGTCAGCCCATAAGGGGGAAAATTACAACACTTAAGAGCCCGATAAATTCTATTGTGACACAACCAGACTCCTTTGACCCTTTACCCCCTTCAAGACGACAAACAATCGAGAGATTTAGCACCGCATTTACGTAAAACGGCAAACGTCAGCTTGTCCTTTTACTTATCATGTATAATAGCATGGACCTTGCTGCTTTAGCTTCGCATGTGCTCACGCCATGGTGGATTAAAGGCGCGTCTGTATGGCTAACAAAGAATGTTTTTGGTGCCCTTTTTCCGGCATTAAACTTCAGTCTACTCCGTGATAGAAAAACGGAAGAAAACCTTACGTTCACGACAAACGCGTTAAATAACTCGTCACATCGTTTGTCACATAACTCGTCAGGTATACAGGTTGAAGTTATGATCCCACTGTATAGCAAATACAGACCTACTCATCCGGGCAAAATAATGAAGCTTCTCGGATGACTACACTATGATCTAATAATACCACAGCCAGCAAAAATTTTGGATCAAAGTAAATATTTTTTATGCTTACTTGTGAACGTTTTCGGGTTCTCCTCGACGTTTTCATCTGCCTTATTCGTCATCTTCATGCGACTTTCAACAGCCAAAATGCGCACTTAGTTCATTTCCATTTGCTTGTTAATCGTCTCCATTCTCAAGAACAGCGCAACAAGCAGAAGAATTGGAATGATAGAAAGAACCGAAGAGCCTTTGCGAAAAACATTGCTTGAGCATTTTGTGAGAGGTGTCTTTAAACGGTCCATCTTAGCTTCAATGGAATTGGAGTGAACAGCTTTCCTGTTTAATAAACTCAACTGCTGCGAGGGTAAGAGTTCAGAAGCCCGGCCCGACGCCGGAAGGTAGAATGCGTGTGGTCTCGAGGGTGATTAAGTAATGAAGCGTTTTGAAATAAATCTCTCTCCTTTGATATTACCCCTCCGGGAGGAGGACCTGGGTATTTGCCAGGTATGTGCCGCTGGCTTCCCAGGACCCCTACCCCATTATAATTTATTTTTTTGCCACTCATAGATCCCATCTTAGCACATTTTCAAACTACGAATCTTCTCATTTCTACATCTCAAACTACCATAACTTTCTCACCCCAAAAATCTCTTTAATATGCGACTCCATTCTAGTAATTCTATTGAAAATGCAATCTCATTTTAATCAATCCAGTCGTGAAAATGCCCGCCATTCAGCAGTACGTGACCATAGGCATATTAAAAGGAAATGGCCCCACCCCCCAAATTCGTTCATTTCCATTCGCTTGTTTATCGTCTCTATTCTCAACAACACTGAGCGCAACATTCAATAGACTTGAAATAATAGAAAGAACCGAAGAGCCTCTGCGAAAAGCGTCGTTTGAACATTTTACAGGAGGTCTCTTTGTAGAGTGCATCATTGCTTCTCGCGGCGTCTAGGGTCTTCCCACTTTCCCACGCTGAAGATTTGCATTTCCCGTGTGAATGTTAGGCTTAAGTTATTCTGTCTGTCAAGGCTGAGTAACTTGTAAACGTATGACGCTTAGGCCGAATCAGGAGGCCGAAATCTACTAGTTGACCTCAATTTCCAAATAACTGGAAAGGTGGTTCTTTTTTTCCACTTTTTTATTTGAACTCAAAGGGAGTTGCTGTATTGACCTCATTGTCACGATGATCGATTGAAAAGAAAGTGCTGCGTCTACTGCAATTATGCTGTGACCTGCGTAAATTTCGAGACATTGACATGAAACGAGCAATGTAAAACGCACAAAAAGCATCTGAACATAGAATGAAGATGAAAAATAGATATGGCGCCTTTGGTAGTTACATGGAGATATTATTGAAGGGCCCAAATGGGTTAAAGCAGAAATCGATAAGTATCCTTTGTTAGACCAAGTAAATAGACTGAATTTGTCTTGAACTAAGGTTTAGCAATGCATGGTTTCGTGATTTGGAATAGAACAATGATATTCATGATGGAAAATATTTTTTGTAATCCCTTACCCAACATCTCATCCTCTCATTCCCCTTTCCTCTTTATCTCTATGGCAGAATAGAGGATCTTATAAATCTTGCACCGAGGTCTTTCACGGCCAAGTGGTTGTAAGTTACAGTTACAAAGTACTGAGGATCTGGGTACAAGATTGAGATCTTCTCAATCGTTTTTGTTGTTATGCATCGAAAGAAAGCAATTTACAGGATAAGGTTCAGTTTTCAAAAATGCAAATCCAAGTCCCGCAATTGGTTTTCTGTGAGAACGGAGAGGGAT